TGACAGATCAAGTAGTCTAAAGAACAGAAATAGCAGAGGTCAACACCAGATACAGGACAGTGGCAACAGTTTTCAAGACCGCATTAGGGCTACTGATAGAATCTTGATTTCTGACTAAATTCCCGAAAGACAAGTCAAAGTAACAGATTCAGATAAGGCAGAGAACACCTGACCCCAGGCCAGGAAGAAAAGGAAAGTGAGTCCTACTCATACATGGAGCAGAACCAGAGAAAACAAAATAACTTTCAACAGAAAGAGAACTAGTTGGGATTTAATCTTACTGGATCACCAGATCACTCATTTTGACACAGCTGGTTAAATGAACCCCTTCTGTGGCAGCTGGTAAAACATAACACCATGGCATTGTCTATTTAAAGAACTGGACAAGTTTTGAATTGATCACAGTTACTCAAGTGAGTAACTCTCACTTCCAGTACATTAATGTAAGTATCTTAAGTCCACCACCTGAAACAATTACCAATGAGGAAAGCATCTCCCTTAATGGGCCTATTCTTCATTTGCCTTCATTCAACTAGAATGTCCTCAGCCACGATACTTCATAGTGTCAAAACAGGAGCGATTCACACATGACTAACTGTGTACAGACTTCAGATGCAGACTGGTGAAAGATGCCATCTCACTGCACTGGCAAGGAATCTATCCTCTAGCAAAAAGGTTCTGTAAGCTTGGGTCTTTACAAGGCTCCCATGCACATCCAATTTTGTGCAGATATAAGAGAGAACTACTTGTTACACAAACCTTCAGAAATTGGAAAAATACATAACATTTTGTGAGAGATGAGGTATAGGCACAGAAAGAAACCCAGGCATTCAAGAAACAAGTTACTATAGCCCAACACTGGCACTGTAGAAATGTCAAAACATAGGCTACAGTATTCTCAGTAGATATCTCCATCCCTACTAACCAAGAGATATTTTAAAAAAAAAGACAGATGGACATTCACCTATGTCTTATTCCTATCATGTGCTGCTGTTAGTTTAATAGGCAAAGTCTGTATGTAGAAGGTATTTGCAGGAAAAACCTGGGCACATGCCAGCATCTTGGGGATGGCTTACCAGGGCAGCAGCATCTCCCACACAAGGAAGCTCTATGGCCAATATCATTTGATATCTGGCATCTGTAACCAGCAGGCTGGCCAAGGAATAAAGTTTATGCCCAAATAAAGCCAGGCATTGATTATCTTTGAGCAATTACATTGATTCCTACCCCAGTGCCTTCTCACTAGTAAGTAGCAATATAAGTAGCATCAAAACTACTGTGAGCACCATGTCAAGCATGCTGAACACCTGACACTGGAATGACCTGACCCAGTGGATCCAGAGATGCCATTTACTCTGTGCTCAGCATGGGCACTTTAAAGGGTTTCTGCTGGATCACTGGGATGAGATTAATCAACCTAGAAAGATCTAAGGACTTCAGTGCTGCTCCTGTGAGGTACAGAGTTGATGGAACCTGGTTCCTCAGCAATAGACTGTGACTCTAAATAGATCTAAGGACCTCAGCAACACATTCTGGACATAGTACCTCTTTACTAAAAAAATTCAGAGTCGATGGTGACTTGGATCCATCCAGAGAATCTTTTGCTCTGCATAGATCCAGTGACAACTACTTTGGCAAATGATTCTCCAAAGCCAAGCTGTGCCAGCCACTAGATACGACTGGCTGGAGGATCCAGGAACCCTGCTGTCATTTATTTCAGATAAAAGCATTATGATGGGCAGATCTCTACCTTCAATTCTGGGCTTGGAGAAATACCAGCATCCATTCACTGGGCCTGAAGATCCTCTTTTGATAATAAGGGAATGAAATAGCTCTCCTGCTTTTGTAAGCTGAGATGACATTCATGCTATATAGGCCAACACCTCTTGCCCCCAACCTCACCCCCAAAATGCGCGGGGGGGAAAAAAGCAAACCACAAAGAGGAATGTTAAGGACACTGTACAAGATTCAAGCTTGTTGTGCCATCAACAGGTGGGATGACCTGAGCTATGTCACTCTCTCACATGCCTTAGGAGTCTTTCAGGAGGCGACATGCAGGCAAGTAAATAGCCCAAATGGAACCTATGGTATAGCATAACCCACTTAAGCTCCCTGTTGTTTGTGGTCAGGTTGTCCTGAAGACTCCAGAAGTTTGTGGTGTTGGCATCTCAGTCCCACAAGTGTTAATTATACAGTAGCTGTTTGGAGAAGAACACAAGGCCTATGTACAATTTCAGTTTGGAAATTAGAAAAGCATCAGATGACAAAGCCAATCATCTACTGAAACAGTTTGCCTAAGAATAAAGTTAGGATGAATTCTGAGGCATTGATCAAATGAAATTACCCAACAGTCAAATCACAGGTTCAGACATACTGCAATATTTGGGGCCAGGAAGGAATTTAACCCCATGGTCAGACTGGTATGGACTGTGGGGGTTTTTGCTTCTGTTGCTAGGGGTGTGGCCCTGTACCTGTGATTTGCACGTATATTAACAACCTTTTACAGAAGCAGGATGTTGGCTGCTGTGGCCCCTTGCTTTACCTGTGGCAGGTTACAGTATCGTGATTTGAGTTGTATCAGGGTGAACTGCTGTTTTACTAAGAGGTTACAGACTGTGGATTTGTACAAGGTAGTTTGGACACGGATGATCATACCTTGGAGGCAGATGGTTGGAATAGATGACCTATGGAGGTCCTTCCAACCCTACTTCTCTGATTCTACAATCGTCTCTGAGATTGAACCAAATAATCCAAGGGGTCACCTTCATTTATCATTTGTAATGACACCTCTCGTATAGCAAAACCCACTTAAGCTCCCTGTTGTTTGTGGTCAGATTGTCCAGACTACAGAATCTAGTCCTACTCAGGATTAGCTCTTCTTTTTCCCCCTCACATCAACTCCAGGGAGCTGTGGTAACTGGGATATCCTAATGCCAAGAGCTAATAAATTCTCTCCTTTTCCACCTAGCTAAGACACATGACAAGGGGCACTTGTTTCCTCCAAACAGCAGTATCAAACACTACAATCTGAATAGGGTCTCTTGCTTTTTTTTTGGTTTTTGTACAATGCCTCCATTTTATGTAGACCTCTTCCTCAGCCTTGTTTGTTTCAGCAATGGTTGCTTATCTGCACAAGCTAAGCAGCTGAATTCTGCTGCTGTCCTGCTTGTAAGAAAAAGTGCTCAAAAATAATTATCCACACCTCTTCCAAGTTGACCATGTCATCCATGGAAACTTAGCCCGTGGTGCTCAGTCCCATTACACCAAATGTATTTTAATTAAGTTATACATACCTACAGACAACTCTATCTTACTGCCTGGAGTGTCCTCAGTTTGACTCTGAAAGAAGCAAAAAAAAAAAGAAAAGAAGAAGAGATGCTGTACTGACACCCAAGCAAACCTGGAGAATATTACACAAAACGTCTTTTAAGGTTAAAGATAGATCAGAATAAAGCAACGGCATACCTGTGAGCGTGAAAAGTCATTTTCTAAATGAAACTAAAGAGTTCTGATGCAACCTTGAACACACCTTACCCCAACTGTGTTTGGTGGTAGGCTTATTAAACTGCAAAAGGAGATATGAACTCATGCCACAGAGAGAGATGGATGAACAGCTGCTCTGAGAAATTAACCTCTGTCCTCATGTTCCAGTGGTCAAAGGATCAAGTTCTGGGAATGACAGCCAAAATGATAGCTCATCCTCATGACCTGTCAAGTCATCAAATTTTGAAATGTGCTGCCAAGTTATTCTTCTGCTGGCAGTCTGGAACAGGGTGTTCCCATAACTCTGAGACATCCGTGGACTAGTGGACTGAATTTGAGACCAGGGGCTGACAGCTTCTACCCCCAGTTCTGCCAATGGCATTCTGTGTGGTTTCAGGCTTATCACAGCACCTTCGTATCCCAATTTCCTTAACTCTAAAATAAGAACTATATATACACCCCACATTTCTAAAATAGTTAGTGGAGTTTAAAGATTTAGCTACTATCACTAGTGGGAATGATATGATAGGAAAGGCTATGAAGATAAAAAAGGAGCATTTTGTAAAAAATCTGCTAGCAAATAACTACATTTATAATTCTGCTTAATACAGAAAGTCTACTACTCCCAAACAGAGCTGCTTATGGTGTTAAAAAAATAAGCTACTTACTAGCAATCCCATATTTGAAAACTGCTTGGATAAAGGGGTCATCCATGAATCACTATTTCCTCCTTTTAACGGGCACTGAAAAACAGAGACAGGTAATTAAATAGTTTCCCTATCACCTTTCCTCTACTTTCACACTTCCTTGATTCCACCCTTGACTTGCAGAAGTATCACCTGAAAACAATGTCATTGAAAACCACCTCTCAAACGCTACAATTATATATTAAGATTTTATTCTGTTAGAGACTTGCCGGATACTAGTAAAAACTGACTATAACTGTTCACTTTTGGGTATCAGGGTGGATGGAGATTTATTTACGCAATAGGTATAACACTCCTTCTGTTTTATTCTAGGACCAGAACAGATTTGAGCACAGTGATTTAGTTCTTTATTTGTTTAAACAGATGAATTCTTTGGTGTGTTTTATGTGGAAGTCCCCACTGTGCTTTCTCCCCTTTTAGCTCTTTCCTCTCAAATCAACACCATGCTGACTGGGCTTTCAATATGGCCTCAATGCTATTTGTAAATGATCACAAAACAAAACTGAAAGCCAAATCAGCAATACTAGAGTACAAAAATCAAGCTGAAAAGCAAAGCTAACAGACTATTGTTTTGTGGTAAGAAGAATAAAACAGGATCTGAAAAATGAGCACGGAAAAAAACAGGACTGAAATTAATGGAAATCAATGGGTCCCAAAAAGCAGACAGGCAACTCTCCCCAACCCTGGTACTACAATAAAGACTGATCAAATGCTCCCAAGAGCTGTTGTGAGCCATTCTTTTTAATCTGCATATCTCAGCTCTTGGCCAAAAGGAAGTTCTTGTTTGCAGGTAGAAACACTACAGTAGAAACATTAACACATTCATTTCCTTGCGCAGCAGTTAGCTCAGCAGCCAAGTACAGTCACCCGCTTCTGCTTTTTCGCACTGTTGTCATAAACTAGCAAAGATGGAATAAGCCCCAGCACAAAAGTAACAGTAAAGAAGAGTGTGTGGGATCAGAACATTAATAGATTACGTAAAGAGAATCTGTGGCAGCCTAATTCAGAATCATGCATCAGCAAGAGAAAAGCAACAACTCTGGGACATTTACTGCTCAGCTTCATTAGGTAGTGGCTCTGCAGCCCACATGCCAGAAGAATTTGGCAACTACTATCAGAGTTACAAGACATAATAGCTGCATTACATTCAACAAGTCCAGAAACCTAGCACTTCAGACCACCACTGTAATGCAGCCACCTCTGTGATGGAATGACACAATACAATAGCTTGTTTTCCAAAAGGAAGTGCTTAATAGCCTGATTACATCTGGTTTCAGAGTACCTGGCAAGTATGAACATATCATTCAAGCATTAGGATTCTTACCTTAATTTGTGGTTTCTTTCCTGGCCCCCAGCTTGTTGAGTTGTGGGAGGAACTGCTTCCCTGAGAGCCTGGTGTGTTCCAGACTCCTCCCTCCTCCTCCTCTTCCCAGCTGGAATGCCGCGTTCCTGTTACTGGCCCATCATTCTCCCCCCAGCCATCTTGCATAGATTTAGAACCTTTAAAAAGAAGGAGAAAGTTCAAAAGGGAGCCACCCCACAACCTAACTGACTGCAAGCGGGTGCTTAGTTCCCAAATTGTGCTGGCAGAGTTCAAAACAGTTCTTTTCTTAATGTTACAGGCAGAAAAAACACCTATGAAAAAACAAAACCCAGACAATTTCCTGGCAGTAACTCAAGTTATGTACTTTCAACTCATTTTAATTTCAAAAGATATCAAATGCCATTAGCTTAAATTTATAGTACTCAAGAGATGTTCTTGTCAAAAAAGACTTGAGAACCCCATTTGAGTTTTTTCTCCTATATGCCCTCTTTTACTTTCCAATGTAGGAGAAAAAAATTCTAGAGGCTTTTAAATTAATAGGCATCAGGGATTTAATCCATATACAAAACTTAATTTATATTAGTGTACAACATCTCATTCCAAAATTCTGAACTCTGTTAGAGGGAAAAAAACCCCTAAATTAAAAAAATACCACATTTCTGCATCAAAATTGCTGACATCATGATTTTTAAGCATAGCTAATAAAAAACACTGCTTTGGAAAGCTCAAACTTAATTGCCAGAGACTGATCAAAAATGTGAAGGAAGGGAGGCTTTCCACACAAACAGCAAGATATTCTCCACATCGTTTAGGGTTAGGTGTTGGGTTTTTTTTGTTTTTTTCCAAACTAGGATCTGACAGAAATACTGAAAAAAATTCTCTGAAATCTGTAAAAACTCAAAATCAGTTTCTGTTCAGATTAAGCCATAAACAAAATAATTGGGGAAAGAGTCCTTCCAAATAGCTTATGTTTTAGTATATGCACACCAAATAATCTAATAATTGTATCCACAAAAAAAGAAAGAGTCGGCTTCTTGGTTCAGATGCAAAACTGTCCTGTCATATCGGAGATGCCATTTAAATAAAGCACTGTACCACTACTACAATGCTGCAACTATTCCATTTTATAACACAAGAGAAGGAGCAGTTCCATCCCCTGCTGGCCTCAACTCCTATTCTTCAAGTGCCAGCTGGCACACCACACTCATGACCACCCAACAGCACATTACAACTACAGCTTTTCCTACGGAGTCAAAGTATATCCCAAACCTGAAGGTGTTTGTCTACTGACTTTCCCCCTTCCTGCTATAACTCCATCCATCATGCTGCTCCTCCAGGCCCTCCACAGACATTTTTGCAAAAGTAGATTTCCATCATCTTTTTCCTACCTAATTTATTTAGGGGCTTGGGAAAAGGGAGTTGGGAAAAAATGGGTTTAATGCACACCCAGACAGCTGTGACTATACAGGAGCCTGTAAACTCAAAAGGGAAGGTGCCCACAAGCAAGAATAGCTGCAAGAATGAAAATACGTGCAAGGGACATTAGAGACAATAAACAGGGATTCTACAAACATGTCAAGAGCAAGAGGAAGACCAAAGAAACCACAGGTCCCTTACAGAATGTAAAATACAATCTAGTTACAGATGGTGCAGAGAAGGCTGAAGTATTTAACATCTTTTTTATTTCATTTCAGTCTTCACAAATAGGGGCAGCTACCAGATAAGTGCAGCTGGCAGTAAAGATAGGGAAAGAGTCAGGCAGCCTAGAGTAATTGCAGAATAGGTTAGGGGTTACTGACCTGGATAGACTGGAGAAATAGCGTGCAATTAACTAGATGAAATTCAACAAGTACAAGTGCAAAGCCCTGCAATTGAGTTGGAATAATTTTATACACAGACAGGGGAATGACTGGCTAGGCTCCAGTACTGCAGAGAAGGACCTAGGGGCTACAGTAGACTGTAAACTGAGTACAAATCAACAGTGTGCTCTCATTGTAAAAGGCCAACGGTGTACTAGGTTGCATTAACAGGAGTGTCACTAGCAAACCAAAGGAAGTGATTGTTTAGCTCTACTCAGCACTGGTAGGCCTCACCTCAAGTACTGTGTCCAGTTTTGGGCCCTACACCTCAAGAAGGAAAAGCCACCTTTTCTCTGTGGCTGGATTGGACAGGGCTATAAGTAATGGCCTCAAGCTGCTGCAGAAGAAATTTAGGTTGGAGACTAGAAAGAACTTACTGACTAGGAGGGTGGGTCAAGCAATGGAACAGACACCTAGAGAAGTTATGAAATTGCCATCCCTGGAAGTTTCAAGAGCAAGTTAGACAGATGCAGCAAAAGCTTTGTTATCCGACACCCATGGGGAATTGAGGGTGCCGGATTACAAAATATGTTGGTTACCTGAGAGGCCGCCTCTCCTGCTGCGTCCGGTGCGCCGCCGCCCCTCCTGCTGGGTCGCCGCCCCTCCTACTGCGAGGGACAGGGAGGGGGGCAGAAGAGAAAGGGGAAAAGAACAGTTATTGAGGGGGCTCGGCAGCACAGGCTGCTTTGCCCCGGGCCATGGGGGCTTGGCGAAACCAGAAGTGCCACAGTGGGCACTTCTGGTTTCGCTTTTACCTTACAAGCTGGCATGCCGGTTAATAGGGCATGCCGGCTTGTAAAGTGCCGGATAATGCGGGTTTTACTTGGTTACGACGGTTTAGTCAGGGATGGTCCTGCCTTGAGCAGTGGCTGGACTACATGACCTTGTGAGG